CAAACGGTTGCAGGCAGGATAACTTTTTCGCACTGTTGAGCACACCTTGCTTTTTAGAGGCCTATTTAACCTTCCCTACTAAATGATCGCTAACTGGACGTCAATAGATATGTCGATGGCGATGGTTCCGATGCCGGCTGAGATTGAGGAGAAGTTGAGGAGATACGAGTACGACGAAGGGGTTCTTTTTAGTGGTAACTTAGCAAACCTGTGTCTCCTGAAGTTTAAACTGGACTGGAGTCGTCCCCAATCCGAGATTTTGTTTATTAAAGACTGGACTTCAGACACAAGTTTGTTACGATACTAGATGACTTGTCCTGAAAAATATTAGCACGGCCGGTGTAAAATTCATCACCAGTGTTACAATCAGTAACAGCGATAGATAATTGAGATACGGAAGAAACAGCATAGGTGATAACTGGTTTTTTAGCATTAATAAGCTTCCAGCCAGTGTATGCATCGTCTACTACGACCTTGATGGACCGATCTGCACGAAAACTGATAATCCAACTGTATAATTTCTCGGGAAGCTCATAGGAAGGAAGCTTCTAAAGAAGTGTTTGTGCTAAAGCCCATCGAACGCCTTCGATATGTCTAAAGTAACGACCAAGGAATCTACTGCATCCGCTCATCTATGAGTCGGGTAAATTAGAAGACAAGAACTAGAACCAGCTGATTATCGACCGCAATGGCGGCTTGCAGTTTATGATGGATTCATTTACTTTGGAGAAGCAGGAGGCGATGGCGATAAGCCAGTAGTTGACGGGTCTGATCGGTCGACTTTTTAGGGATCGGGTGCACTAAATCTGTCTTCTATTCCTTCAGGATTACCCTAACCTAAGGAGTAGGAGTACCGGAAAAGACGCGTAGGACCGTTGCTTACTCCAGAGCAGTCGCCTTCAGCACAATAGGAGGGACTTTATCAGGCTCACTCGACTTGTTGAGGTCCAGGGAGAAGTAAAACGCACATCCAGCATGGAACAATCATTTCTCGTTCTAAATTAGTAGAGTAGTTTACAGCGTTTCTTTAACATACACAAAAACAATTAATTAGGTACATTTAGTAGGTAGCTTAGCTATTAGAACTTTATTTTGCTTTAGTAATTATTACACATGATATACAGAAAAAAAATGTGCAAGGCACAGGTCGATAGGGTCGAAGAAAAAGAAAAGAATTGAAAAGCGATGTTGCTATTTCAATGATCTGACCTAAATTTTGTATGCTCGAAAAGGAGAGATGGTTGAGCTGTGGTTGTGTGAATGAACGCGAAATTTCCAGTCTGCAAAAATAATACCTATTCATTTTAATTTAAGTTGTTATTCAGGTATAAGAACAAAAATAATACATCAAACTTGTAGTAATGACCGGGTTTCCATTTTTTGTATGATATATAAAAATATTAAATATATAAAAAAAGTAATGAAAAACACTTTCTCGCAACTTTTCAATTGTTTTTGTGTCCGCCAAAATGAGTGAATGTAACGAAAAAATTTGGTACATTCTGAAGTTTAATAACAAAAAAGGGAAAATGCAACTCAAGCCGCGAAAATAATTTGTGACGTTTATGGACCTAATGCAGTAGCACAAAGAGCTTTCAGCCCGGGAATTTTAATGTCAAAGATGCAGCTCGCTCTGGTCGCCCTCATAAGGATAAAGTCGATGGCATATTTGAAAAAGTGGAGCAAGATCGGCATATTAGTAGTTACGACATAGCCGAGGAATTGCGGATTGACCACAAAACAGTTTTGACCCATTTGAAAAAGTCTGGTTATACAAATAAGCTCGATATTTGGGTACCACACGAGCTCACTAAAAGAAACCTGATAAATCGTGTACTCATTTGCGATTCTTCATTGAAACGTAATGAAACCGAACCATTTTTGAAAAGATTGATCACTGGTGATGAAAAGTGGATCACCTACGACAAGAATGTGTGAAAAAGATCATGGTCAAAGGGTAGTCAAGCTCCACAGTAGACTGTGAAGAAACCCGGAATAACACGCAATAAGGTGATGCTGTGTGTGTATTGGAAGGGCATCGGTAATTATGACCTTACCGCCGGGCAAAACCATCGATTCGGATCTCTATTGCCCACAATTAATGAGACTCAAGCAAGAAATTGAGAACAAACGACCGGAATTAATCAACAGAAAAGGAGTGGTCTTTCATCATGATAACGCCAGACCATCATTGGCCACTCATCAAAAATTGAGAGAGCTTGGTAGGGAAGCGTTAATGCATCCACTATATATTGCTGACCTTTCACCCTCAGATTTCCACCTGTTTTGTTATCTTCAGAATTCTTTGGGTACCTAGTGTTAGGTTAACATCAAGAGAGGACTGTCAAAACTACTTGACGCATTTTTTTGATCAAAAATCCAAAGATTTATACAGCAACGGGATTATGTCACTACCTGTTATATATATATATATATATATATATATATATATATATATATATATATATATATATATAACAGGTAGTGACATATATATATTATATATATATATATATATATATATATATATATATATATATAATTAAATGTAATTAAACTTTGGAAAAAAAAAAGGGTCTTGAAATGGTATATAAAATATAAAGAAACCTTTTCCCCCAACTATTATACACCAGCCCAAAATATTAACCTTACTTATTTGTGGACCATACTTATACTTGTTCTGTGCTAGAAGAAATTGCGGTCCTCTACGCTGCATTCAAAAGCTTAATATAAAACATAAGGGTGACTAAAGAGCACACAGTTCACCTGATGGTAAGTGAATGCTGTGGCCCATAGCCCATAGACATAACATCAATCCTCGATTAAGAATGAAAACCGATGCGTTATCACCCTCGAGGATTTTTTTTTAAATTAGAAATCTTATAATATAAAATAAAATCTATTCTAATCTTATAAAATAAAATTAGAATAGATTAAGATGGAACGCCTCATTTACAGTAATTTTACGCTGGTATTATGAGAGAGCATAGTCCCTCCCAGCGTGGCTCTATCGCGCTGAATCACTAACCAATAGTTTGTATTTTTGCACTAATGCTAAATTTACGCATGCTTCAGAAGATAACACAAAAGACTGAAAAGTGGCGGATTACCATGTATGTGGACTATGGATCAGTTTTGCCGGTGCGAAAGTGCCTACTTTTCAATGTTGATATATATCCACGATACTTCACCCACAGAGTACCGTTTGTCTGTCAGTGGGCTGTATCTCATGCTCCGTAATAGGTAGACAAGTTGAAATTTTCACAGAATGTGTATTTCTATATGAAATGAAATTTCCACAGAATGTGTGTTGCCGCTATAACAACAAATAATAAAAATAAAAATAAATTATAAATTAAACAGGGCTCCCCTACTAAAAACGTGTTTTACGATGGTACGGAACCCTTCATGCACGAGTCCGACTCGCATTTGGCCGGCTTTTTATATAGGTACATGGAAACTTTACCGTTGCACTGGAACGTTTTCAAGCTACACGTGCTCATTGGAATCGCGCTGGCCTCGCATCTTCTTATGATTCACCAGCCCGTCAAAGTCCACTGCAAACGTCAAAGACATAGTAGACCTCTCCTGTTATCTCCCGTCACGGATTTTCCTTCATTGACATACTTTGCACGCGGATTAAGGATTGCAGTACTAAACCTTTCTAACTTGGCTAACGTTAACCTGTTATACCGTCATCAATCGGAACCCATAAGATCTTCTGGTCATATCCCATAGTCGCCTCCTACGAGACTCAAGGAATGAAATGAGGTGTGATGGATTTCTTTACGCCGAAATTTGTCAATTATAAACACATTAATGTGAGAATACTACGGTCTCATTTTGTCTCAAGTAGCCAAGAGATTAGGAGTATGACTGTGTGAGCAGAGAATTTTTGAATTTTACCACGCCCGCTGTGGCATTGTGGTCTTGGAATACCTAGCTTGGTCCGCATAGACAGTTCCCACGGTCATAAAACTAACATCGTCTTTTCGTTGCAATCTTCTTGATGTAATTAGAAACGATTTTACAGTTGGCAAGAGATGATTGGAGCGATAATTCTTTAGACGGAACTATTCTAGCTTGTAGTTCAGATATTAAAAATGCCGATGATTAAATCATCCTAAGTCGCTCCAGGTCTCTTTTCTTATTACAATGTCCTGTCTCAACTCATCGTCATTAAGTTAACATCAACTTAATCTTTAGGTATGTAGTATGTACGATTGAAACTATATGCCATATGAAAGGCATTTCATAAAGAATATAGTTTCAATCGTTACTATTACCGTTACAGCCTATTAAAGTGCACTGCGGAACATAGGCCTCCCCCGTAGATTGCCTCATAGGGGGAATATATCCCATAGTGGCCACGCTTGGCATGCGGGTTGGCTACTGAAGTTCTTTAGTTGTTATAAAGAACTCGCTGCTGTCCATCTCGTGATTTGTTTCCCTCTGTCTTCTCTTATGACACCCACGGGATGATATGGGGTAGTGCAAATTCTTACACCGCCACTACACGGCCTTATGAAAGACGATTTGAATAAAATTTCATAAAAACACTGAAGTAATCAAAGTAATAAGTTATTTTAATAAGTTAATTATATACCTTGTTACTAGTAGTATGAGAGCGTGTGACATTTGTAGCAGGCTAAAGGTTTCTTCAATGTCAAGTCGAAACTGGTTATAAGGTGTCTATAAATATATTTCAACTGATCTCGATTATCCTAAATAAAACTTTTATCTGGAGTAGCAAAGCATTAGAGGTTAAAGTCACTTTATTTAAATATGGTTTAGATACTCATAGCGCATCACAACTTAGCTGATTCTGTTTACGATTTGCACTTTCAGTAAAAATTTACTCTACTCTGTGATTCCCAGAAAATTCCCTCGGCTGGTCTGCTCCGAAGATTACCATAGCTAGGGTTATGGTGGGGAGACGCGACTACGGTCCACACACAGTCGATGAATCAAACTAAAACCAGTTACATAGAGTACTTTTTAAACCAGTTACGATTTACCCGCCGAACGTTCTTGACGCCTTCCTAAACAAAAAGTACGTAAAAAACGTTGTGAATGAACTAAGTTTACGCGACGTAGTAAGTTGTGAGTGATGATTCAGTGAAACGTTTTCTAAATTCAATTTCGTGCAGAATCTAAAGGTGACATCATAAATTTCAAGAAGTAACATCATTGAAATAACGACTTTTGGAGTTTAAAGTAAGCAAAAGATGATACGCAAGTTATGTTTATAAACAAACCTTAGGTATTTAGAAAACAGAACTGCTGTGGTTCGCAACTTAACAATTGAAGGCTATTGCTTAAACTTTCTAAAAATAGGGAGCGTGTTTACTTTGCGTTTTTGTTGACAAGTGTAAAGATATCGCTTCAAATATTGCGCACGTACACTTTCACTTATTGTCACGATCACGATACGATAGTTATTATAATTTTTGTCTATCACTATACGACATTTAATATATTCTTTGTCTATCGCTTACAAGCGAATGGGTCTTATGGGCCTTGCGTTGTCCACCTCACCTTGAAGTAGTAAGTCGCTGCGTCCGCGCCGCGCTCAGCGCAAATTGTGCCACACGAGTACACACATTATTACGTGTGCATGACATAAATATTAAATGAATACCTACATGCATTGAAGTAATATGTACTATTTACTAAGTACACTATATTTCAATGCCTACAAGTTGGTTTGTTGACATAAACAACGAATATACCTAATGAATAGGTACTTTTTGCTTCATAATCAATAATCAATAGATCAATACATTCAGTCCGTAGATTTTGAGCTGGAGCAAGGAGCTGTTTACTTTCCTCGATGTTTTTTTTGTTTTTCATTTTTTTTTACAATTTTACCTCTGATGCTTTTGTCTTTTCTGCCGACTTCCAAAAAGGAGACGGTACTCAATTCGACTGTATTTTTCTTTTATGTGTGTTACCTGATAACTTTGTACTGGGTGAAACGATTTCGATGATTCTTTTATTATATGAAAGCTGATAGTTCTCGTATGGTCCTATATGAATTTGATCAAGGTCAGACCAATAGTTTTTGAGTTATTCTTAAATAACTTATATTGAAGTCGGCTGTACAAAATTTTTAATTTTAAATTATGTATGGAAGAATATAGTTTTAAATTCAAAAACTGTTAGAAGATTTTTATTTTGTGTTTCAAAATCACGTTTATTTCCTTATTATGTTATTCATTAATACCTATAATATGGGTTACTATAGGTTTATTTTGCAATAACCGGCAAAATTTGCAGACAAGGTTCAGAATAAGTAATATAGGCAAATGGTGAAGAAAAATTAATTTATAATATCTCAATAATTCTGTCTTTTTATCTTTTAAATTTAAAATGAGTTGTAACTTATACTGCACTATTTTATTACACACGCACACATTCGTAAGGGTAGACCGGTAGGCAAAAATGTTGTTGTCCATAAATCACATTTCATTTGGGATAATTTCAAATAAAATTAGAAGCCTTATTTACACGTATTTTCAAAAACTGCTGAAACGCACATCAGTATTTATATATTTGAACTTAAGTTTAAAATTTGACTACTCTTTGAAAAATAGCCGCGTATAATATTTTCAACGGGTAAACCACGCTTGATTTGATTTAAATTTACGGGGGGTAGTTTTGTTTTTCTTATGACTTTTCTGCTAAATAATTTTGCTAAAAATGAAAGATATTAAACGAGCGACGTTAAATATGGGATCTAGACCTAGATTTAATTTAAAGATTAATAGGGAAAGACAACAAAAAAACACGCAGGCTCATTGGAGGTAAGAATATTTGTGTTACATAAAGTTTTTGGGTAATCAATAACGTACTAAAGCACATATTTTATTCCTATTTATATATTTGATGAAGTTTGAGAATAGCAGAACCCACTCTTTTTGGGGGGCTTTCCACAGCCTTTTCAACGTAGTCAGACAGTCCTTAAGATGTATTCAGAATTTGTAAGGCGATTCTTCTTGACCTAGTAGTTTAATATTTTTGTTTTTACGAATAAATAAAAATAGCAACGTCAATTCGGGACTGTATAGTAACTGGGATTATTGTCAAGCTGGAACTCATTGTCTGTACACCTGTAGTATAGTCAAATATTCGTCTGCTCGTCTGTGAAGTCATTGTCATACCTATTAAAAGAGATATTTTGGTACCTTATTAGTTAAGTCACCGTAGTAATCGTGGCTATCGCGATTTATTGATCTTTTGACAGATTTACAATTACTTACAATAATTTATTTTATTTTAAAATTTTACAAAATTTTATTCAGTGAGGTTTTAGAATAAACATCAGCTATTAACTACGTGATTATATTTTTCTTTTATATTAAAGCAAACTTCGTCATTATCCCATATTATTTCTTTACCATGCTATAGAGTAAGTATTTTTACGATTTCACTACTCACGGGAAAACCTTAATGTAGATTCTCTCATCAATTCGACTATTTTTCTACCGACTTCAAAAATGAGACGGTACTCAATTCGACTGTATGTTTTTTTATGTGTTTTTCTGGGTGAACCGATTTCGATAATTCTTTTTTTATTTGAAAGCTGGTGCTTCTTATGTGGTCTATATAAATTTGATCAAGATCTGACCAATAGCTTTTGAGTTATTCTTAATAACTTATATTAAAGTCGGTTTTTAATTTTAATTTATTGTAGGGTGCATTCATTGTAAAAGGCCGACATGGAATTCACAAAAAAATCATGTCATGAGTCAGTACGAATTGGGGCAAAATTTGTACAGTTTTGACAACATTTTGAATATAATTGAGTTTTTATGTACCTACTTACCTAGTGTTCATAAAAAAGTTTAGATTGAGCTACCAGTTTATTTTGTAAAACTATTATTAGAAAACTTTAATCTTCCGATTTTATTTTCAAAGTAGGTACTTACTTTTTTCTAACTGAACAGCCTGACTTTTTTGTAGTCGCTATTTTAGAAAATATTAAGAGGATACCTATATCTGTACGTTGAGACACTATTTAACAACGATAAAATTATTGACTTATTATAGAAAGTTTGTACATAAGATTGTTTCCGAGAACAAACAGTCTATATACACGCCATAGTCTATAAATCTAAAAGGAGGTATATCAATTTCAACTTGTTGTTTCTGTTGAACAAATTTTTGTGTAAACTATAAATTTTAGTCCAATTTTTATTTAATTTCCCCGGCTTCGCAACAGTGATTGTTAGATCTCGACAACAGCGCCACCTACCGGGTCCAAATGTGAGTCTCTACTATCTAGGGATTCACTCAAATACACACAAAAATTTTCATCATAATCGGTCGAGCCGTTTTTGAGTTTTAGCGAGACTAACGGACAACTTGATTTTTATTTTTATATATAGATTTTAATCTTTTTTCTACTACAATATGCATGTATTATACATATAAACTTTTCTTTTGAATCATTCTGTCTATTGATGATAACCGCATTAAAATCCGTTGCCTAGCTTAAAAGATCTAAGCGTACAGACGGCGGGAAGTGATTTAGTTTTATATTATATAGAGATGTAATACTTACCTACGTTTGTTTAGAATTTTGTGATCAGTGTACTGATATCTTTTTCTGTGCAGTCTACTTGTCTATTTCTATTTCTGTGTATTATACGGCAAATTTATTAGTTATGTACTGACGTAAACGATATATTCTTTAGGAGTACGCAACAGTCCACCGCTGGGCATGGACCTCTCCTGTTGTAGGGAAGATTTGTCTGGGTATTTAACGAGTCAACCTTAACAAAAATTCGTCGCCCCCGTTTGATAAGTGTTTTTAATTAAAAAAACAAATTGTACAGCCTGTTATGATAATATCTAATTTATTTTATTATTTACAGAGTGGCAATGGGCATGGGCGGGGCTATGGACAGCTGTGGCAGGTGTATGAAGGTGTCACTCATAGCGGTCAACGTTATTATATTTGTAAGTTTATTCAGTAGAAACTAGAAATACTTAACTTTCGAATGTAACATAACTTATGTTTATTTGATGCAATCTTGTCTACTGAAAAAAAATGATTTTTTGTATTACATCTGCTACCAGATGGAAGTTAGCGTAGAACATTCTTTTTTTTTATTAAACTGTATGCCAATTGATTGCTCCATAAATGCTCCAGCACAATCCGAAATTGAACCACTACTATTGTTATTAGTTAATTTAAAATTAATGTTTAAAAAATTTAAGTATCCAAATTTTAATTTTGCTACAAAACATAAAATATCAATTTTTTAAAATTAAACTGTATGCCAATTGATTGTTCCTTAAATGCTCCAGCAGAATCCGAAATTGTTTTACCTCTTTTGCTATTAATTGATTTATAAATAATTTTTAATTTTATATTCTACGTACCACCTTGAGAGTCAATCAATTTTTATTCGATAAAATGACTTTAACTATAGAATGTTACTACATTCTATTGATGATGGCGCTATTACTCAAATAGGATCACTCTATCTCAAAATTAATTATAAATTAACTAATAGCAAAAGACAGAAAAATTACGGATTCTACTTGAGCATTTAAGGAGCAATTAATTGACATACAACTTAATTTTATAAAGTACATATTTTATGTTTTATAGCAAAATTAAATTTCCGACAATTTTTTTTTAAATTTATTATAAATTAACTAATAGCAATAGAGGTGGAGCAATTTCGGATTCTGCTAAGCATTTAAGGAGCAATTAATTGACAAACAGTTTAATTTTAAAAAGTAGATATTTTGTATTTTATAGCGAAATTAAATTTTCGATACTTAATTTTTTTTTAAATTGATTATAAATTAACTAATAACAATAGAGGTGGAGCAATTTCGGATTCTGCTGGAGCATTTAAGGAGCAATTAATTAGCATAAAGTTTAATTTTAAAATGTAGATATTTTATATTTTATACCATATTAAATTTTCGATACTTAAATATTTTAAAAATTAATTTTTAATTAACTAATAACAATAGAGGTGGACCAATTTCAGATTCTGCTGGAGCATTTAAGGGGCAATTAATTGACATACAGTTTAATTTTAAAAAGTAGATATTTTATATTTTATAGCAAAATTAAATTTTCGTTACTTAAATTTTTTTAAAATTAATTAAAAATTAACTAATAATAATAGAGGTGGAGCAATTTCGGATTCTGCTGGAGCATTTATGGAGCAATGAATTGGCATACAGTTTAGTTAAAAAAAAGAATGTTCTACGCTAACTTCCATCTGGTACATCTGCTTCTATGGTAAAAATTAAAACTTTATAATTTATGTAACACTGTTGAAAATCATCACAGAGTACGCAAATAAATCACTTAGTTTGCGTTCACTATTCAACATAATTTATGGCAAAGGTGGTAATGAAATAAAATGTTTATTAAATACAGGGGCATTAGACATTCACTTCTAACCGATGTAACACTGAGATTAATGCAGTGTCGAAACACGATCGAAACACAATCATATTCATAATACACAATCATCTGAATGAAATGAAATGAAATATAATGAAGTTGATAACTTTATATTTTTCGACGTAAGAAATTAAAATGCTTAAAATGATGTTCGTTAAACGCCAGTTTATTTTAAATCTAATACCGTTACAAAATGAGATTCCTCGTGGGTTCCTCTGCCCGGAGAATAAACGGCGAAAGAAACTCACACATATATTTTATGAAGGCCAGTGATACAATGTTCTCTCTTAGGTAATCGAAGTCCAACAATTGAGCACTAAAACACACGGTAGTTTTCCAGCTTCTCTATATTATATTTGTTCCAAATAAGTAAAAGTGTCCTCGAGGAATAAAATGGAAGTCTTAGTAGAAAGGACCAAAAGAATTTATGCTACTTTGTACGAGAATATAACATAACAATCTAGGATTGAGTTTGTAAGGGGAGTCCATTAAAAACGTCAGGCGATTTTGGCATTTTTTTTACTCTCCCCTTCCCCCTGGTGAGATACGTGAGGTATGGCTAAACCCCTCACGCCCCCTCCCCCAAATCTCACGACAAATTTTTTAAAATGCGTATTTTTAGTACATATACTATTTATTAAAAACATAATTTGCTTAATTATTTTTACATAATTTGTGTAGTTCGCATAACCGCGATAAATATTATTGTGTAAGATTTAGCCATATTTTAGGCTTAGCTTTCCATTGACTCCCGTCGAGTTGGGGGTTGATACGTATTTTTACAGAAAAGTTACACTATTATAAGCACACACACAAAGTTACAACATGCGGAAACGCGTAATTTTTGAGAAAAAAGTTATTGAAAATCAATTATTCTTGCATTGTTTATATCTAATTCTACCATAAAACTGACGCCATTTTGTAATGTCATTGTCGATTCTTTCCGAAAAGGGTCGATTTTTAAATCGATTCAAATCGTAAGCTGATGTATCGATTCATAAAAAATCGATTTCTAAAATATCTATATTTTTTATGTTTGCATTTATAATGTAAATATAATTCCATTTTATGAAAAACAAGAAAGATACCATAATAAATGATCTCTTATTGAATTTTGTTTTATTTTAACAGTACCAATTAGGGCAGATAACAAATAAAATAGGTTAGGTTCAACTTATGTCAAAGAACCGAATTGATTGACCCTGACTCCACCTGGTACGAGTCTGTCCTACCCCTAGAGTGGTTTTAAAGAGCCGGAGGCAGCCTTCGTCTGCTGTAACAAATCGTAGGCGTCGGACGAGGGATGCCTGCGATTTGTTACGCTAAGGCGTAGAGGCTGCTCTTCCCGCAGCGCCGGAGACGTAGCAGTCTCAAAATAGATACAGAAATCCTTCTGAATCAGTCCCCCTATATTTTATGATGAAGGGGATTTTTTTCTCATAAAATGGATTTATATTTACATTATAAATGCAAACATGAAAAAATATAGATATTTTAGAAATCGATTTTTTGGGAATCGATACATCAGCTTACAATTCGAATATATTTAAAAAATCGATCTTTTCCGGAAAGAATCGACATACCTAGTGACAATAACAATAAAAAAATGGCGTCAATTTTATTGTAGGATTAGACATAAACAATGCAAGAATAATTAATTTTCAATTACTTTTTTCTCAAAAATTACGCGCTTCCGCATATTGTAACTTTGTGTATGTGCTTATAATAGTGTAACTTTTCTGTAAAAATACGTATCAACCCCCAACTCGATGGGAGTCAATGGAAAGTCGTACCATATTTTATTTTATTTTACTTAATTTAATGCAATTTTCTCGAAATTTTACATTGTTTGTTGCGGAAATAAGGGTAATTTAGGTGATATTTGCCAAACCCTCCCTCGCCCCACATGAGATTAGGTGAGATTCGGCTCGACTCCCTTCCCTCTCTAAACACCTCACGCAATTAATGAACATCCCCTAATGACTATATAGCATAGTAATTATTTATACATAGCAAAACTATAAAATATATTATAAAATTGAACAGCATTATTTCTTGATCGGTAGCTTAGTGGTGCGGTCGCTTTGGCGGTGGGCACGTGGGTATGGGTATCCCGTTCATTCTCAAGCACGTTGATGAACAATAACATGTTCATCGCCTCAGTCGCAGTTGTGGTCGTGTCTGGCGCCGCCATGATGCTGCTCTCCGTGCTTGGATGCTGCGGCGCTGCTAAGGAAGTGAAATGTATGCTGCTTACGGTACGAGATAACATAATATTTTTTTAACAGGATATAAAAATATGTCCACACGGCCCGGTGTGAAAGTATTCAGAGATACTCACAAAATATAAGAGAAAAGTATAATAAATAAATATAATATGCATAATGAATTTCGTATGATAAATGAGGGGATCAAGAAAATTAACTGTTTGCACCGAAACATTTTACACTTGCGTAATTTTAAATCGGCACACGTTTTTCGGCTTTGTGGAAAATAATCCTGAAAAAAATTGTTACCTACGCAGGTTAATTGTTAGCTTTTGTGATCATATTCAGTAAATATTTGTTAAAATTATGTCAACGTTGAGGTTTACCTCAACCTACCTCCTTTAGGAGGTAGGTTGAAAATTCTTGTGGCAATTTGCAATTTTGAGAATTGATTTTTAATCTTATGTTGATAAACATAAGATTAAAAACTGGTACTTGGTATTACATCTGTTATATGGTAATGGTAAGTTTAACATTATGACCTGTAAGTTAATTTATTCAAGACCTTTATCCTATCCGGAGTTCCGCTGAGTAATAATGTAGGGGACGAAAGGGCAAGACTGAGGGGATTGCCCACCCTCTCCGTCTTGTTCGTTCGAAAAAGAATAATTCGTCTAGTTTAATGTTAAATTGTTATGCTACGGCCACACTACCGTAATATGGCAATAATTGTGGCCACAATTGAAACAATATCAAGGTGTAGCCACGATTTATGGCCATAACTTTACTGTGGTAATTTTTGCGTCAAGCGGCCACAGTACAGTGTGTTCAGTGTGCGACATGAGCTCAACGAAAAAAAGCCTAACATAATATTACGCTTTCTGTGCATTTTTCATCCATAATCCACCATCTTCTTTTAAGTCTTGGTTTAGCTTTGTTAAAATGTAAAAGATTCATATAATAGTAACTGACACTCATAAAATACAACACCACCGAAGTTTCAACCTCTATTCCCGCACAGTTCATCGTCATATCTACATAAACTCTGATGTAACCACACTATTTCACGCGGTAATTTAATGCCATAATTATCGGGGTAAGTGGGCTGTAGACAGTAACGTAGTGTGGCCGTAGCTTTAGAAAGAGGTAAGCCGAGGATCACGTGACGAACGTTTTACGAACCCGTCGTTAGTGACCTGTCGGCTGGGGGCGAACGCAACGGGTGCTGTCCGGACAGAATTTAGGGGTATATAATATGTTCTGTGGACAGAATTGTGCTTTTTGTAATAAAAAGTAATGATTTACTTGCAGCCCAATCAGCTTCAATATCAGATGCTAGCTGAGTGGACCCACGAAGCATGTTCTTCTTATATGTCTAGAATCATATTTTTGTGACGATTGCTTTGATTAAATGGTGATTATTAGTTTCCAATCGTTTTTCCCGCCGAAGAAATTCGTTTTGCCCGCCCAGGTTAGGCAAAACGGATAATAGCATGATTTAAAAAATATATTATTAACAGAATTTTTGATTATTGAGTTGAATTTTCGTTTAAGTTTAAATCTTGTTTCTTATTATCAAATTTACTGATTAAAGAAAATGGTTTTCTTTGCGTTTTTAGTGTCAAATTTAACCTATTATTATTGCCCTCCCGTCACCTATTTAAAATTTAACATATACGTACTGTAACACTCCCCGCTACTCTTTGTTTTTCTTTAGAATTTATATATCAAATTTACGTGACTAGTACCTATATATTGATCTTTCAAAAGGTTTAAATATAGGCCGTTTAATAAATTTATGGCGTGATCGTCTTAATTAGGAACCTTATTTACGTTGTGTTTGTATAGTAACTTCTCTAAAGTCTCTTGGAAGAATGAATATTCACCAGAGCAGTCGAAAGCTGTTGGTAATGCTTTATAAGCTAAAGAACCTCGTACACGAAGACAGAGCTCAAAAAGGCTAAGAACCTTAAATCGTCCCTATTCCACTAGTATCAGGTTCACAACAGTCAATTCCTTATTAATTAATCCCTTCCCGCTTGGGAAAAGCAAACAATATTTATATAAAATACCAGATACAAGAGCTTCGCTCTCCCACATTAAAAAAATGTGGGGAAGGCACACGGCTCCATACACGCCGTGTGCGGTGAGCGCCAACAAACTAACACGCTTCCCCCAAAGGGAACGTTAAGTTGGGAACTGGACCGTAGTTCAAGCAAAATGACCGGCAAACAAGTAAAAGAGGGCTTGGCCCTTTGGTAGTGCGTAAGCACAAACATCGACCGAAGTCGCGCATGTCAATGCGTGTAAACGCCATACAGAATACGGTCGAATCCAGCCACACCCACAGTGAATGTACGTCACACGGATTAGGCAAAAACTGGCCATAAAAAACCCTCCGTGAGCGCCACCACCTGCCAGACCGCTGTTCCTGCAGACGTAATGTAAGTGTAAGGCATCACCATCAATTGCATGATCAGCATGGCTAATTAGCTGCAGAGCGTCTCATGAGTCTACCGCTCACCTCAAGAGAATGGGGTCCCACGTTGCGCGCCTTTCGGCCGCAGACTTGAGAGCCTCCTCAGATTCTCCCTCTAGCTACCACCCGCATGGTCCGACACATATGCTCCACTAACCAATACAATGGCAGATATAGCCAATAGTCAGTTATAAGATAATTGTAATAATTCGCCATCAGAAAGGGGTTGTGTCACTGACGTTGAGTATATGCATTTTTCGATCATATTTGTCTCACCCACCAACAAGTTGCCTTCAATTATTCAAAGTTGTTATATAAAACATCATGGAGGTCAGACAGTCTGCAGCCCGGTAATGAAAGGAACCGACTTGGGCAAAGCTACTTAGGTTGTGAGTCAAACCAAGACGTAGAGAGCGCCATTGAGAATAGCGAACCGCCAAACAACCATCGCAGAGACGCAATGCTGCAGAACGCAACAAGCATCAATACGACTATCAGGCGCAACACACCCGCAGATCCATTACAAGACGCAATACTGCAAATAGCAGTAAGCATCAATGCAACTATCATATGGATGACGCCCCCTCACAAACAAACCCACATGATCCCTATCGACTTTGGTAACAAAATTGATAATGTTGTTAACTAAAAATACCACAAACATATCATAGTAGCACGCTAATTAGACGTCAGTAGCCAAAAATCCACGTATCATAACACTATTGCACTAAGACATGGAGTTGAGTATGCTTGCTGCACTTAAAATACTACCAAACACACTCTCCCTGATCCGAAAGATAGCTGACGTATCATAACACTATGCGCTAAGACGCCGCCCACAAACGGTAGGGGTATGCGATGTCCACGGGCAAGTCGTATTACTACAACAAACCCGCTTACCACCGGCACTAAGTTGATATGTTATTAATAATAATAATGAGCCATCACAATCCACTCCTAAATTTTATGTTATTGACCCATATAGTGGAGTTGTTAATATAAAATTTTACTATTTTGAGAGCATATACTCAATTCATTGTTTATAATATCTGTTCTTTCCTCTTTCAATCTGTTACAATACGGTATATGTTATCAAATTCCCCTACCCCAGGGAATGGCCGTCACCAACACCCCTTCAACCACATCATCACAATGTGATAAGACCATACTTATGAACTTATACAAATCATTGTTTATTATTTTGTTAATATAGTTCTTAGTCAATTGTTGACTTCTCGTTTTATTAATTTATCTTTAAATCTTTGAAATATTATTTCAATAATGTCACCCATTATGTGCATACAGTTCAGTTGAATATAGGTATTTGTTGAGATCAGTTGGCTACCACACAGGATAAATGTGAATGAGCCATTTACCCTGACCCAACTCCCCATATTTACCAAATTATCTTACGATCTATATTTACAATTTTTCATTATTTATTAATTACATTCTTTTATGATATAACAATTTTTTTTGCGCCCAAAAGCAATTTAAAAGGGCTACCCCCGAAAAACGAGGAGGGAGGTGAATGCTCTAAGCATACCACGACAGCCGGCTGCCATGGTTATGTGGGACTCACTGCGACTAACCTAACCTAACCTAAGTGCCTACCCACTAAACACTACCTGTGAGACAGGCATTGGCCTATGAGGCCTTTCTGCCGAATCGGAAGCGACCCTCTTTTGGGAAAAGAGGGCGCAGGCGGCGACGAGCCGCTGAGGGGGAGCCTAACTAAGGCAAATTAAGAAGAGTCGGCCTGAGCCGCCAGGAGGCAGTTCAGGTCGGTCGAAAGTTTGTTTGGCGGGTCCGAGAGGGACTCGATAGCGAGAGGGGAGTGGGGCTGCATAAGTAGCTGCCTCACGAATGAAATGGTTGGAGTGAGACTCTGAGGCTTTGAAGAAGTTCTCAGAGAGTGTTTTCAGAAATTGCTGCACTGTGGGGAGCTCTAAGTCTAGATGGAGGTCAGCGTTACGGACGTACAAGAAGGGTGCTTTCGTAGCTCGACGACAGAAGAGGTTTGAACTATTTGGAGTTCGTTAATGATTTTGGGATTAGCGTGGGCAAATATGGGGCCCGCGTAAGTCATGACTGGTCGTATACAGACCTTATAAAGGGTTCGCTTGTTGCGGAGCATACTGTTGAGCCTACTCAGATAGAAACGTTACTCTTTTGACATGGGGCCCGAAGGTAAGCCTCGTGTCAAGGGTGACACCTAAATATTTGGCAGTCGTATGCCAGGGGACAGGGGCACCTAGCATACGGATTGGTGGAATTTTATTGAGGCAGCGCGTTTATGATCGAAGTGAACAGCGGAGCTCTTCTCCGGGTTCACATCGATGCGCCATTTTTGGAACCAAGCTTCTAAGTCATCAACTGACTTTTGGTTCTTGTTCCGTATGAAAGGTAGCGAGATACCTTTACAAAAGAGGGCAATGTCGTCTGCGAAGAGGGAGAGCGGAACACCTTTCGACGGGATGGGAATGTCGTTGGTGAACAGGATATATAGGAGAGGAGCAAGTACTGAGCCCTGAGGGACACCAGCTTTGATGGGCGCTGAGAGGAGAGCGTGCCTTCGTGTCTAAAACGGAAGGTACAATCCTTCAGGTAAGAGGCCACGAGACGAATAAGAGGAGCAGGGAGACCTATTTTATATAGTTTGTAGATAAGGCCTTCGTGTCAGACTCTATCAAAAGCTTTTTCAATGTCGGAAAAGACCGCGATGGTCTTATGACGACGAGGATAGAAACGGCTGAGGATATATTCCATTCCATAATACGGTGAACTTGTGGATAAGAATGTTTCGCTCGGAAACCAAATTAGTGGGGGGTAACTAATATCTTGCTCATAATTTTAATAGTTTTAGACTAATTGCTCAATTATTTCCTAGGGCCACCCACAAGACCCCTTTATGCTACATTATTTACCTGTTTACAATTAACTCACATTTCTGCAAGTTGCACGTTAAACCAGCTTTGTTCAAGTTCATTTAACTTTTATTCCATATCTATATATATGCATATGGAATCGGATAGGATCTAGTAACTATAGGTTCATCATCGATCATTTCAATTTTATGCTTATAGCAATTGGCTCTTCCCCATTTGCTCGAAAACATATCCATCTGCTTTTTCCAAGACCTTATAAAATTTTGTCTTTTTAGAGATCTCCAATTTAAGATCCTATATTTTTATATTTGTTAACGGATCATCGGTACATTGCTCGATGCAGTTATATAATACAGATTTATTGTTATATTTTAAGGCTATGAAGTAGTCTTTGTTTTTCACCTTAGATTCTATTCCAACAGACGTATTTCTCAAATCAATCAATATTTTATTACTTTTGAGCCAGTCAAAACCTAATATTAAAGGTCTTATTAAATTATTTGCAATAAAAATTTGTGTTTCAAAGACTACCTCATCTATCTTTATAGACAATATGACATTATGATATCTGTTGTATTTTTGTGCTGCACTGCCCAACAGCACCTTTTGTTTGCTTTTCTTTAACTGGCATTATTGATATTTTACGTTTATTATCTTTAGTTTGTAAATATAAACTTTCTGAAATGCATGTAACATCTCCCCCAGTATCGAGAAAGTCTTTGCCAAATATTGGAACTACAATTTCGGATCTCATATTCCCTATAAATTCCTATTCCTATTCATCATTAATAGCACATCACTAGTTGTGATAACGTAATTCATAAGTCAAAGAGGCCTAGGTTTGTTTTTGCTTGCATTTACCCGTAAAGGTTGTAATTTGTTCGTCAATTGAGTATGTGCCAGGAATACCTTCAATCATTCTACAAGTATTGCTGACGGCACGGCGTTAAGAACCGGCTGTAATTTTTAGTAACGAGATTTCAAAAAATCTATATCATAATATCTTTCAAACTACAATACAAATGTAGTCTTCATTTCTTGTCTTAGCCGAGGAGGATACTCATGGGGTATATCATTAAATGTAGTGGCTTTCCAAATTCTTGATTTTTATTTTGTGATATATGGCGGTTGCTGATTACAATGGAGTTTTTGTTTGCAAGTGGTCTGTTTTCCTGATCCGCACATTGTAGTAACTCAGTAGTCAGCTATTGGGACATTTATGTCTGAGTCACTGTCGCTCCCTTTGTTACTGGATGTCTCTTGTATAGGGACCACTTTCCAGGAGTCGGGAAACACGAACAGGTGTATCCATCTCCTCTTCGGATATCTCAAGATCCGATTGGCACCCATCTCCAATCAAACCTTGCAACAGATTATCGTCTAAAAGCCGCCCTGTTAAAAATAATACAAGTGTTAATTATATGAATTTTACGTCTTCTGATTACAAATGAAAACGACAACGCACGATCGTGCGTCTTAATATTGTGAACCTGTTACGAGGTCTAATATTTTGAATTTCAAAAATATTTTTAATTATTACTGTAGGTAAATATCTAAAATAAATATTTAAATACTAACAATTGATACAAAACAACATTAAACTTGAATACCATATACCACTGACGAACGTCATGTCCATCGTGAACACTCACAGACACTTCACTACCCTCTATGCACCCCGCGATGCATTTTACGCTGTATAGTTAAAATAAATTACAATCGATCGAGACCATTTCGAGGTAATAAAACAATAAATTCCGCGCGTACTAGATTGTTTTTATTGATAACGCACGCTTGGTATAACTTTTTTGTACAGTCCGTTCTGAAAGGGTTAAACTTAAAATTGCCGTAACTAACTAATTTTACTTACATCTAATTATCTTAGGGTAATTATACACCTGTAGTAAACTAAGTAGTAGACCATAGAAATTACTCTATATAGTAAACTAGTAAGTTATTTAACGACTTTGGTTCTTCGTAACACTTCAATCACCGATATGTTTTTTTTTTCATATTTCAGTATTACATATTAATCTTCATAATCTTTGTCGTGGCGCTTGTGGGCGGAATACTGCAGTTCGTGTTCCGTGAGAAAGTTCACACAACACTTGATCGCGAGATGTTTGCATCTATACCGTACTACGGCGTGAAGCACGAGTACACAAAGGCCTGGGACGACACGCAGACATTCCTGCAGTGCTGCGGCGTAAGGAGTCATAACGACTGGAATGGCAATGTCCCGGAAAGCTGCTGCAAAGAGGTTTATACAGGAAAGGTATACTTAAATGTAATAACATCCTTCTTATAAAATAAAAATGGTCGGTTTTCGAGTCTGGTTGTATCGATGATTTTGACACTCCATTCTTATAAATTCTTATAAAAATAAAATATATCAATGTGTTTGTTTTATCATTTTAATATTTTTTGGGATGTATGATTTATTATATATTATATTCATGATCTTCACCTATACAGCCTATGAAAGTTCTCTGCTGAACATAGGCCTGCCCCATAGACTACCGCATAGGTGAGATGTTTGCTATAGCTGATGTTGTTGGCGGGCGGGATGACAGCCGGAATTCTTTATTATTTTGAGTAGTTATTAGGAAAATGATGGCGCCATCTTCTGTTTCATTTCCCTTTGTCGCCTCTTACGACACCCATTATATATGTGACAAACTTTTACTCCGCCTCTACACGCCAAATCGGGCAAACCAAACGACAATTACACAAACGCATCAATCACATTATTATGCTACGGACTGGGGTTGACTAGGGAAAAAATCCCTTTGTAAACCATTTTTAGTAAAGGTTAAGACAATAAAGTATAAATAAGTAAATAAATTTAAGAAAACCTGCGCTCTTTTACTTCTCGATTAAAGAGATTCTTCTTTATTCACGCGTGTCTTAATTTTTTCAGCGATTGGATTGTAAAAGCTCTCCGAATCCAACAACGATGTACACGGACGGTTGTCTTGAAAAAGCTGTCAATTTCTTGAGAGAAAATGCGGTGAATGTTGGAGCGACAGCTATTGTAACCGCTATTATAATGGTAAGGAATAAAAAGGTATCAAGTTGCAAAAATGCATTAGACCAATAAGAGAAAATATATTTTTTATCACTATTACGAGTATAAACCAGTCCTTGACTATGGTGCTGCAGCCAAAACGCTCTGACTTAGCTAAACAAAAATCTGTTCATCTTGTTTCTAACCCACATTCGTGAAATATACAATCAAGTCAGTAAACCACATCAGTTTATTTACAAAGAAATAAATGCATCGGAATTCTAAAGATGATGTTAATTATTTTACGTACTGAAACGTTTATCTACTTGTAAAAGCATTTGAACAATTACTACAAATTAGAACGACCGCTTAATATACCATAAGATGAAAAACATGTTTTTGATGAGTTTGTTCAACCGACATAAACTACAGTTTTATTGTATCAAGACAAAGTAAAAAGCTTTAAGTTCCGCTCTATTTACAGTCCTATAGCCTAGATAGCCTTAAGTCTCTTCTCAACGTCTCATATCTGGGAGTTATATAGTAGTTAGTCCGTCGTGTTGCACCAGTGCGTGTTGGTCGACTTTATCGAAATATTTTTATTTTCTCACACATGTATTTTTTCTCGGCGCTGTGTTCCTTCACCGCCGAGCACATGGCAAATTAGTACTTAAATTGCAATTACCTATACCTAACTTTACTTTTATTTACAAATATTTCATATAGTTTTAGTTATGGTAAAGCCACGCTGCAGTTATACCATCTGGGCGTCTTCAAGGCAAGAGTGAATAGGCTTTTGTTACGCTAAGGCTTACCATCTAGGGCTGCATCACCACTTACCATCAGGTGGGATTGTAGTCAAGCACTGGCTTATAATAAGTAAAAAAATATCAACTTAAAATAGCAGCTTAATGCTGGCTGTTTTTCGTACGGTAGAGAACCGGAGACCCTTTTTACTGGAAACGAGGCATTATATATTTGTCCTCAGGGGTGACAATGTATTTGATCCTTAATCGAAGATGTCTATGAGCCACAGCATCCACTTACCATCAGGTTGACCTCCTGCTCGTTTGTCACCCTCATTCTATAGAAAAAAAAGAGTTTATAGTCACATTTCCCTGTGTATTGGCGGAGTGAGGATATCCACTACAAATAAACGTTTATTATGCATATAAAGTACCGTGTAGTGGCCGTGATGTGATCGTGTAGTAACCGTGTAGTAGCGGTGTAAGAATATCCATTGCTCCATATCGTCCCGTAGATGTGTAAGAGGCGATAGATGGGAACAAGTCATAATATGAACAGCAGTGTCTTCCTAACAACTAAAAAAAAGTACAGCGGTTGCCAACCCGCCTGCTAAGCGTGGCAACTATGGTAAATATCCCCCCTATGAAGCAATTTATGGAGAGGCCTATGTTCAGCAGTGGATTTTTGATAGGCTGTTATTTACTGAACAAATACATATCACCATAATCACGTATACACTGAAGGTTATACTGGTTTATGTACCAACCTTGAAAGACCCCGACAAGGAGGTGCAAAGTTCATTACACCTTGTGATAACTTCAACGCGGTACAAGGAGAGACGATGACCTCGAGACATTAACTTTATAATTATTAAAGAGTCAATCTACGGGGGGCCTATGTTCAGCAGCGGACTTTTAAAGGCTGCATTGGATGGATGGATGGATAGTTACATTACTAAATAATGTTTTCTTTCCAGGCGCTGGCGTTAGTATTTTCGTGCGGGCTGTTCGTGAAAATCGAGTAACCTATAGTGATGTGACCAAAGTTATCGACGTTTTTTTTTTGTTGTTTGATTGACTGAATTGATTGACGTTGATTATTAACGTTCTTTAGCTATGGCTGTTAGCTCGGTGTCATATTTTGTATTACATTTTCTAATTTATTTAAAAAATACATATTGAAATAAAAGTATTATGTATTACAATATACTTTTTTTATTTTGATATTATGCTCAACTAAAATAATTTAATTTCTATTTTCCGAAAAAAATTAAGCACCCATTTTAACAAATTCAAAAACCGATCAAGTCTGAGCTGGGCCTCGCTCTAGTAACATTACGTGCATGGGCATGCAACTTAGAACATTATTTTACGAACAAAATGATACGTTTTATTTGCTTCCATCTACATTCCGAAGTGCTAGGCTAGACTTATTTTCATCTCACTAGAGGGCACACTTATATATTAAGTCTATGCATACGCAATGATCCATGCGCACTAGCACTACGCAGTTAGTAGCGGTCACTGGTAGTTACGCTTAAATTATTATTAATATTTAATGAACATTATTTATTTTTAGAAAATGCCGTTTTATCTGTGTTTTCAGGCAATAAAAAACTGCTAAAATATTATTAGAATACGAAGGTAAATTTCGCCACTACATACAAGGTTATAAAAGCTCAGATGGGTATCCTGGCGGACCCGAAACCAAAAAATCCCGGTCCGAGTCCGGCAGATGTGTTTTATTTTTTTTCGCTTTTTTTGCAAGTTCATTCTTTTGTAAGAATTAAGCGCCATCTGTTCGGCTAAGCACGACACTAACGAAAATTAAATTTGAGTCGCGCATCTATCTCTAGTATATATACAGTAATCTATGATTACGTGCTAATATGACCAATTAAATAGATAGTTTTAAAGCTAGACATCGCAACAACGCGTGATAGATAAAAAAGGCCAAAAAATATTCGTTTGTTTTGGTCACAGCTATATCTATTAAAATCAATGTTTTCAGAATTTGTTAGCGGCCTCCCAGTTCCATATTTTTGAAGATAAATAAGAACTTAAAATTTTATTTTGCTTTACTCAATGAACTCTAGATAATGGCACTCAGAGTCGAATTTTTTTCGGCTTCTTTTTCATGTGGGACCTTCCTGCAAAATCATTTAGTGGAATTTCTGATTCAATATTCGGTTTTAGGTAAACATTCCACGACAAATTGTTAAACAAGGATTTTAAAGAATAATAAAAACATATTTTAAAATTAATTTTGCTTTAATGTAGAAATTATTATTGCATTGATTGAGAACATAGGATAATTTTACATCTCATTCGGAAATATTGTTGAAATTAATGTTTTAAAAAAGTTTTGTGTATAGGTAATACTAAATTATAAATGTGCTAAAATATTATGTCAAGTTAGAAATTAAAAACATGGATCTGTTTGATTTGTTTAGAATATATCAATAAATTGAAAAATGCTGATATGGTATACACACAAAGATCATTATATAATTTAAAATTGTAAATATAACTATTTTAATTTTTCTTTCTCCTGGGGGGAAATTTGATGGAATTGGCATTTCCCTCGCGGTATTGACCGCCGCGTGTGAACCAGCCACAGGAGCGAATGATGCAGTCAGAGCTGGTAGTGCCCAATGGAAGTCCCAAAGCACTGATCCGCTCCAAAGTCTGTGCAGGACCCGATATTATCTGTAACATGTATATAATTTATATATATATATATATATATATATATATATATATATATATAAATTTTTCTGTACGTGTGCTTGTCACTGCTCCTAAACGATTGGACCGATTTGGATGATTTTTTTTGTGTGTTCGAGTGGATGGTTAAAATTCACAATTAGACCGGGTAACTGGCGCTGTTGCCGAGATCCAGAAGTCAAGCGCGTGAACCCGGGGCGGATCTCTAGTATATTATATATAGTGTCATATTATTATAATATATTTTGGATGCAGTAAAAGCGAATCGGACGAAACATGTTGAGAATGCCTTCACAGAATCATGTGGCAGCCATTGTATTCAGCATAATTTTTCTTTCGGGCTTTTTCAAAAATGTGCCAGAAAGCAAACAGTTGTTGCAAGAAATGCCTGTACTTGCTACGCTGAGCAAGTGAATATTCTGTCGCAATGGAGATAAATTCGCTCTGGTAAATGTGCAAAATGTGTGAGATTTGATTTCAGGAATTTTCTGATAGATTTTTCACCACCAGTCGATCTCCAGAGTCTCGTCTGTCGTTCAGATTTGTTAATAATGCGGGTGAAGAATAAGTTCTCGTGTTTACAAGAAGAGTACTAAACAAGGACGAGTAAATATTGGTTTTATCTACGTTACAATTAGCGTATAACTGCGGTTCCATGTGAAAGTTTTCACCTCTCACGATATCTAGTTACGAATACATACAATCTTATATCTATCGACTGCTTTTCTGCCTTCTAGGCTAGGTACCACACTCGCACCTATTTCTGCTATCAAATATACATGTACTGCTGTGTCTGTCTGTCTGTCGGTCTTAATTACAGGCTGTGAGGCATTCCACCTGTCCTTAGAGATCACAACGCATCGGTAGCTGTCTTTGTTTGAAATTGGCTGCAAGCGTCCATTGACTGCAGTAGCTTCTTACCATCAGGTGGACTGTGAGTTCTTGTCACTTCAGGTTTATAAAAAAAATTATATGAAACTTAAGTTCTAATAAGAATTGTTTGCACTTACTCTCCCAAACACGACGTGCTTTTCATCGAACTGTGGTAAGGGCTTGAAAATTATATTAAATTGTCCGGAAACTTCGTTGTCTTTAGTTATCACCATAGATAAAACGCCTTGAAAGAATGTAGCGAGTATAAAATTAGTTGGTGCAGATTTGATTGCAGAATTTATTATACCAGGTGACTTTTAACCGTAAGGAAAAAATTGGGTCTACACGTAACTCACAATTACAATTATTGCAAAAATGTTTGTAGTGATAGCACCGAAGACAGAACTCCGATTGCTGCCTTTCTTATTACCTACTTTGTTAAACAGGTAAAAAACCGGTCAAGTGCAAGGCGCACTCACGCATAAAGGGTTCCGTACCATCGTACGAGATTTAATACTTTGTAGGTACAATTTAAATATTATTTTATTTTATTATAATTTTTATAGAATAAAGCAATACAAAAAGAGAGCCATGCTGCAGCTATATTAGTAGTATAGTTGTAGCACGAATGGGTCGGCTCGACCGGGAAAGGACAACGCTCTCACAGAATACCAGCGCAAAATAGCAGCTCAACACTGCTGTGTTTCGTATGGTGAGTGTAGAGAACCGGAGACCCTTTTTACTGGAAAAGAGGCATTCCATCTTAGTCCTCACGGGTGACAACGCATCTGCATTTTGATTCGCAAACGAGGATAGATGTAGATGTCTATGGGCCACAGCAACCACTTACCATCAGGTGGACTGTGTGCTCGTTTGTCACCCTATCCTGTAAAAAAAAACTCTGTGAGCATTTCAAGCCTCTACTTGTTGCCATTATTAAGATCGAGCAAAAAAAGGCAAACGTTTCTAGTTGGAGATTTTTAATCACTTTGATTTTTAATTTATTTTTATTTTTATTATTTGTTGTTTTAGCGGCAAAAGAAATACAAATTCTGTGATTTCGACTGTCTATCTATTATGGATCATGAGATACAGCCCGCTGACATATTGAGGAACGGACGGACGAACGGAAAGCGGGGGCTTAGTAATACTAAGGCTGTCCGTCCGGTCCCGTTGGTTACCCTTCGGATACGGAACACTAAAAAGCAAGCATGTACATATCTTCTAAGTTACGCACTTGTAGTCTTGGCGCTAGTTAGTATCTGTTTGCAGTAGTTTTTCTCAATATGGTTCTGCCGATCTTATATAGCATACATTTAATTTGAAAGAAAATTAAATTTTTTATTGCAATGGCAAATATTATACTTCTTCTTCAATCCGTGAATATCTACTGGGTATGGGCTTCTCCTGTTATAACAAGAATTTGCCTTAATTACCACGCTTGGCCGCTTGTCATTTGACGATCCCAGTACCAGACGTTTCGCATTTCCGATGCTGCTTCTCACCGGTGATCTTGGTAATTTACGTCTGGCGTAAACGAGATGGTTATAGGTATATAGCGCCTCCTTCTTTCGGAAGCCACGAGAGTGATGGATAGATTTTTTTACCAACAACGACACGGCAAAAGAAGTAGACACTGAAACGTTTAATTGTATAACATTACTTAATGCATAGTATTAGTTTAACTATCAAATAAATGAAACCTGCTAATATGATTATGGAATGCGCACGGGACAACTTGTTAACTGACAAACGAGGCGAGTTTACAACTTGAAAATCGCGGTACACCCATTCAAAAATGTCGCTTCTTGGTACATCCCACAGACTGCTAATGGGGCAGCAGAGGCTGTCGATCTGCACTCACCAATTCCTCCGGATAGTTATGAAAGTGTAATGTGTATGGGAAACTCTTCTAGAATATGTGTACTAACTGGTACAATTATGAAAAATCAATCTTTTGTTCAGCCCTAGACTTAAAAAGGCGTATGATGAATATAAAATAATAACCCTAAATTTAGATTTCTTTAGAAAATTCACGCAGAAATATCAAAAATATTAAGGAGTATACCCGGTACGGTATGTTTTAGTTGATAATTCTCAGCGCCCATAAGGTTATTATCTCCCTCAGGCAGGTAAAATCCGAAACCGTTATCTTTCGTGACGTCACCCCCTCTACAGTACAGGTCTGGCACAATTCTAGAAATGGTTAGTTATTTTAATCTGAAATATTTTTATTAGAAATTTAAACGATGTGAAAATAAGAGTGACAAACGAGCTTGCAGTGCACTTGGTGACGGTGCCTTGGTTACAAGGTGCCTTAAATTAATGAGACGGCCGGTGAACCAATGAAAATGCGAACATACTCTTTCACCGTTTAAACCGGAACACGACTGCTGCTTAATAAGCAGAAAACGATACTTACCACCTCTACTTATACTGTATCATTTACTTTGAAAAAAAAAAATTTAAACTACTACTAGTAAATATTGTTGTTTTGGCATGAAGGATAAAAATGTGCCATAAACTACAAAAGAAGTAAATATTTCCAATTTGTGTTAATGGGTAAGTATCATTATATTATAATTAAGCAATAATAAATGTGAATTTTATTCTTTAAAAATAAGTTAAAAAAAATGCATCAAACCTAAAAAATCTGGTGCCTGTATAGGCATGTCCGCGAGAATCGCCCTTGACAAGGTTAAGGAACAGATGACAGGTTTTAGGAACGATGTCTGTAAACAGTTCTATTACCACTTTTCCCATCTTGGAGCCTCCTCGAACCCAAATTTCCATGGACACTCTAAAATTTTTATTTATATAAACACACTATTGTAAAGAATTTCTGGAAATAATTAATATTTTTCTAATCATTCTATAATATATATATATGCAACACGGGCCAGTAGTGGAACGGAGGGGAGTAGTCATAGCGTATTTTCTCAATACAAAACTGTCTGTCATATTTTCAGGGGGAAATCTGCGCACACAAAAACAATCATCTGTCTCTTACAAATAGAACTAGAAATCAGAAATCAGAAATGTTTATTTGCTTTAAACATGGTAGTACAAAGATATTAATATAGTGATATGTCCTCATGTTTGACTTATAACTGTCATGCAAATTTAAAAGTAATTACATTTTAATCTATTTAGAGTTAGAAATAAGTTAGACTAAATATAAAACCAATGGTAAACGTGAATCATAGACAGAACATTACATTATATCTGTAGACGCCCTGAGCTGCCCCAACAAAGGTCGACTGGACTAGGGCCCATCTGTAGCCCAATCAACGGGCAGCAGAGGACGGGGTCCAACGGCCTATGGAGACTTATTATTCTACACAATAGACATAAGGCTTGGTAAATAAATAGTACGTACCTGGTTCAGAAGCGAAGACTGGCCACAAGGCTCGATCAGGCGGTAGGTGTAGTGTATGTAAGTGGTGTTTAGTTGTGTGTAAAATTTAAAACCTGACTTAACCCTTTTAAGCGGCAGCAGCCTTGACTCTGGCACCGCCACACGGTATGGTATCCTCCAGCGGCGTCACCTCGATGTCACTCAAAGTCTAGCGTCCCTTAGCACAAATCTATAATCTAATACGAACGCTGTTTCTCGCGGGTGTCAAAGTTCAGCGTTTTAACCGACAACGGAAAATGTCGCCGAACTATATCAAATGCCACACGAGCAAATTAATATTGTCAAATGCACTTATATACGCAATCAAAATTAGAATAACCAAATTCGCGGCGGTCTACACGAAAACCAAATATTCAGTAGTAAATCAGGCGCGCACAACATTCAAATTCAGACGTTGATCGCAATCAATGTTAACTTCCAAAACAATTAACCGATCCGTGCCGTCAATCTATTTTTCTAAACTCAACAAACTCCTCGTCGGTGCATAAAAACTTGCTAACAAAACCCGACACTATATACAGGTTATACGGGACGAGACCACGCCGTGTTAGTGACTGCACTACAATTATCACTTCCGACCCGCCTCGCTAGGAACCAATCCGATCTCGCACGAACGTCAAAACCGGTAGGAAATCACTGCGCTGAGCGCTCTCTGGCGTCGATTCTTGAAATTAGCGTTTGGCGCGAACAACATTTATAAATTGTATAATATTTTATGTCAAATTATTCAATTGATAAATAAAATAAACACAGAAAAGCTACAAACACAATTAAAATTCAAAAATCTCTTGGTCATCTAAGTATTCCTGGACTGAATAAAAGCACCTAGTCAAAAGTTAGGAATGTAACTTTCTTTTAAACAATGGTAATGGCAGAGCCTTGAAACTTGGATGAAGCTTATTATAAATTTTGATAGCCGTACAATAACAGCTTCGTCTGTATAGTTGAAGTCTTATTCTAGGTTGCATGATTCTTTCTATATGTCTGGTAAGTTTATTTTTGTATTCCCCTCTAGTGACAAAATAATGAGAGTGTTGTCGTACAAAAATACACATTTGTTTTATATACAGCCACGGAAGCGGTAGGATTCCAAGATTTTTGAAAAGGGGCTTACAGCTTTCAAGAAAATGTACTCTGCAAATAGCCCTAATACATTTCTTTTGGGCTATGAAAGCCCGGTTTACATCCACTGAACCTCCCCACAATATAGTGCCGTAACTTAATAGTGATGACACATAGCCATGGTAGGCATAACTCACACATAATAATTGAAACTCACACATAATAATTGAAACAATAAACTAACAATTTCACACATGCACACATAGGGAGATACATTAGAACAGTATGGCACGGTTACAGCGACAACTTGGATACAGACTCTGGATCAGTCGTTCGACTGATTCGCATATTCATGTCCAAAACAACACGACTTTTACTATTGTAATTTTTATGTTTAGAAAGAAGTAATTATTAATAACGTGATGAGTTATATATGAAAGGTGGTGCCATCTTTTTATAAATTTGACGTGGCAGATCTCTTTTTACAGCAAACAACTGAACAATTCGGAATTTCTGTAGGACGTCGTTCAGCCGCACAACTAGATTTAGTCTAGTGAGCAGTGCGACTGCAATTAGTTTTATTGTACGCGTATGACTACTCCCCTCTGATCCGCCGGTAGCCCGTGTTGCTCTATGTAAAGTCAAAAAGGCATATGTATGAAGTTGCTTTCAGTGATTTATATACTCTTTGCTTTCATCTCGGCTCAGATAATCTAAGAATATATAATCACTACATTCTTGTATTTTATTTTCTAAATATGGCTTTATGTTGATTGCTATGTGTATTATTATTCTATGGCTATGTGGATGGAACAGAACAGCACTTGGTAGTTGACACGTTAATACTAAATTGCTATACACTACAAATACAACATATAATTTGAATTTGCCACTTTTAGAAGTCTCCCAAAACTAAGTCAAATTTAATTTTTGGCATTTAAAAATATACAAATAACATAATAATTTGAGACTAATGACTATGACGTCATTACACGATATTTTAATATAACTTCTATAGAAATATTTGTTTTGATCTGTATGTCTAGAAATAAAAAAAAATATTTTTCGAAGACATGTAAAGTCCGCAAACACACATTGGTGTGGCGCGAAGGACATTTCCTTACAATAAAACCCTCTCAGAAATGAGAACAGGCCCGTGACTAGCTGTGGAACGTATTTAGGCTGTAATATTACTTTACTTTATATGTTTTGACAACTTTAAAAAAAAAGTATTTCAATTGAAAGTATCAAATACGCAATAGTGAACAAAGCACTCACTTGGTTCGGTGGACATTTGGAGGTTTGTCGAAGGCGGGATCTTTGATCCCACGGTCTAATTTTTCCGTCTTGAAAAGTATGAAGGGCAATCTAAACAAAATATTGAAATGTTTGGTTATTTTTATATACGTTTAAGTAATATATGTAAAAAAACTTACGATGCTCCTAAAATTAGCTTGTGTTTCGTATCTTTCCAGGCCTCGTCCAATTCTTTAGTGAGTAATTGTTCAGATCTCTAAAAAGAAAACGTTTTAATTGACGGTTTCGTCGTCGTGACAGGATAACTGAAGATTTAGACCTACACATGATAGCGTGGCAGCTAGCTAGGTTTAGAACCATGTCGCCTCGATACTAGGAAGGTCTGAAAAGTGCTATTTGGTTTAGTTTATCACTCACTGATTTACTAATTCACTGACTCACTCATCAAAACCTAAACCATTTCTAGGTGAGTCAGAAACTTAAAAAAGACATCAAGGTAGATTATATAGACGAATTAAAGCCCCGATGAATAAATTGATAAATAAACGTGATAGGTCAGGGTCTTAGTGCCCGGTGTAAATTTCACAGTACGCGAGCAATTCGGGTTCTCCACTAGGAGTAATAGTACCTATTCTGTGCGCGGTATTCGATCCCTATCAGCACCAATGAAATTGTTAATTGCAATTTTAAGTGCTAATTTACCATGTGCTTGGCGATGAAGGAAAACATACATGAAGGAAAACATACATGAGGATAGAGATGTATGAACAATAAAATATTTTGCGCGCACGTGGAATTCGCTAACACCCACTGGAGCAGCACGGCGGACTAATTGCTCAATAACCCATTTGGAAACGAGGGACTGATGCTCAGCTGTGAGACGTACATAGCAAGTTTACCATTAACTGGTATGTTTGGCGCGGATCCAATAAATTATTGTTAAATGATATGAATACAAACGGCGACTAGCAGCCGGGAGTAGATGTGGAGGTTCTGTTTTTGAATGGTGTCCAGTAAGCGCTGTCTCTGCTTGCACAAGAGCTTGTTATGTTTGTCGGTTGGTTTGGGACGCAACCAGCAATCAACGAAACCCTGTGTTAAAAATGATTTTCAAAGTTAAGATGACGTTCAGCCATTCATTTAACATGTAAAACAAAATTGATTACAACAAGTAACAAATCGGATTTTTTTTGAATAAACCTGTAAAAACTTACCCCTGTCCTTTGTATTAAATTTATTTTTTTGATAAGTTCCTTGTTCACGATCATATTTTCTTCCAACTGGCGTGCATAGTAATTCAGCCGACGCGGTTTCAGGTACAATTCCGGAAACAGTTCCGGTGAACTGTCGTCTACTTTATGTTTTGTCATTTGAAGCTAATAATATAAGAAGAAAATAGTATAAACTATGGAAAATGACTAAACCCTTTTTAGCCGACTTCAAAAAAGGAGGAGATTCTCAAAAGTCGAATTCGACTGCATATTTTTTATCTGTATATTAAGAGGTATTTTCGACTATGAAAACCCATTTTAATGACTTCTAGGGATGGTTCCATACAAATTTGGAATAATAATTACACCCCTAAAGGTGGAAAAATACAAAAAGTTATTATTGTAACTTTTTAGAAGATATTTGAGCTTGTGATGTTCCTTAGACCACTCAAAAAGGTGAAAAACTTAGACTTTTAATAAAAAATAAAATCTGACTTCAAAGAACTAAAATCATTAAATAATTTCCCCATAATATCTTTAGAAGTGCCGTGTTGTGGCGGTGTAAGAATATCCACTACCCCATATCGTCCCGTGGGTGTCGTAAGAGGCGACAGAGGGAAACTGAAACAGGTGATGGGCAGCAGCGTCTTCCCCATAACAACTCTGAATAATAAACAACTGCGGTTGACAACTCGCTCACGAGGCGAGTCAACTAAGTATGGTAAAATTCCTCCTATGATGCAATCTATGGAGGAGGCCCATGTTCACCAGTGGACTTTTATAGGCTGTAATAGATTTTCAGAAGTCGGTCCCCAACCGACCCGACTTGTGAAATTATTTTATTCTTTTGAAATCAATTAAATCAAACATTTATTTGCATAAAACATGGTACATTTTTAGGTTCAGGTTACAACATAGTCACACTATGCATGTTTTAACGATTTATCGGTATGCAAATATTACGTCGACATGCAATTGAAATTAGAAAATTACAATAAATTTCACATCAAAATTTAATATAATAGTATAAAGTCAATAAATTTAGGATGTAAAAAAGAGAAAAAATAAAAAATTTACAGGCATGGTAATGTCATAATGCATAATGTCAAATTAGTATAATGTGAACTTAACAAATTCTAATTTAAAATTTCAAACATCAACAACAATTCGCTGGAGGTGACTCTCACGGCAGAATTTGATAAATTCATTTATGTCAAAAAACAGTTTTCAATCAGAATCCCGAAAATATATTTTTTAAAAGATTAAATGTCAAGTTTTGAATATGGTTCGGAAGTAAATTAAATAGTCGAACGCACATACTATAAATGTTTCTAGCAAAACAATTTGTGGCTGCCTGGGCATAGATATTTTCCACGAGTACTTTCTTGTACCACCACGGTCATTATTTTGGAGGTCTACATGATTCCATTTGACCGACACCACATATACATCGTATACATCTCATCTGTAGTATAAAGACACGAGAAACGTGTGTCGAATTTCCCCACACAATCAGTCTATACCTCAGTATAGAAGCAACGTATCCATGGTATGCCATCAGAGCTGTCTTAAGGTTAGCTAATTTTCCCAGACGTTACAGAGCGAATAAAAACCTGTTAATCTTCTGGCATATAGTTTCAACGTGATTCTGCCATGTGGGTTCGGAATCAACCACAATACCGAGAAAGGTCGCTGATACGGTCATGGCAATGGGATCGTTATCATGGTGTACCGATAGTTGTTAGGGTTTACCATTTTTGTTGTAAAATTGTATATACTTTGTTTTACTTATATTAATTTTCAAATCATTATATTTTAGACAATTTGTTATTTTTCTTATTTCATTATTTATTTCATCATTATAGTCAGTGTTAGGGTTTTTATGTATAGTTATAGAAATATTATCAGCATAGAGTGTAATAGGATATTGCGTACACTTTGAGAGGACATTAATGTAAATAATGAAGAGCAATGGTCCCAATATACTGCCCTGTGGGAAACCTGTGTTATTCGCCCTAATCTCCGATCTGTACGTCACACTCTGACACTTATCATCCGGCTTCAGTACTTTCATAAACTGAGTCCTTTCACTGAGATAGCTCCTTATCCAATCACAGACCGGTCCTCGTTCAAGCTTATTCAGAAAAGTCTTATGATTGATAAAGTCCTTACTCATATCGAAAAGAATGGTGGATACGGGAACCCTGTTGCCCATATGGATCGATATGTTCTTAATAAGGGAGTAACAGGCCAGTGCTGTTGACCTTTCCTTGCGAAATCCAAATTGTTCCTGCCTAATTATACAGTGTTTTGTGAAAAAATAAATTAATCCGACCTGCATGATCTTTTTGAAAATCTTTGATAAAACTGAGTTAAGTGCAATGAGTCTGTAGTTGTTTAAATTATGCCTCTCCCCGCGTTTAAATAATGGCTTGTGACTATGGAATGGACATCTTAAAAGTGCTAGGAAATGCTCTTTAAAGCAACGATTCACAAAATGTGCCAGTAAGGTGCCAACTCACTTGCACAAGCCCTAACTATCTTCGTACATATCGCACCATGACCTGTGGAATTTGTGTGTTTTTTGTTTGGGATGTTTGAGTGTTTATAATTTTGATTATTTCATTTTCGTCGCTAGAGTTTAAAAATATAGACGCGGAAGTACTTTCGATGAACTTCAGTTTACTTAAGTTACATTGATAGTTATCAGGTCTATTTGTCGAGTCTAGTAATTATTAAATGCGTTTGCAATATCTGAAGGATTATCAACAATTTTGTCATTTATTTTTATATAGTCAATATTATGTTTGTCATTTACTTCGTCTTTGTTATTCTAATCCAAGTGGCTTTGCATTTATTCCTGGCTATATTAACATATTTCTCATTAGTAATTTTTTGACACTGTATTATATACTTCCTAGGTATTTTAGAGTACTGTCGATATTTATTTTTAGTATTATATGTGTGTGTGTTTTTTTTTTAATAAAAAGACAAACGTAATTTTCTTTTAGTTCTGCTTTTACTTTTTATTAATAAAATTTTATTTTTATTTTACAAGCTCACGTTATGACTACGGATTCCCATTTTTTGATAGCAATCGAGCGTGAGATTCGCCCATAGATATAAGATTCACATGATGGTAAGTGACCACCGACCGCAAACAACTGCAACACCTGGGGAATTGCAGATGCATTGCCGGCCTTTTTTTATATGTAAAAAAGAGTAGGCAAGTAGTTGGATTCCCAATTAAAATGCAGTGGCATAAATCATTCACATAATAAGAAATTATCCAGCATTTATAAATTAACTAATTTGTGTTTCACAAATATATTGGTTTCCTTTTAGAACCAAGATGATACCTAAGTAGTGTAGTTGTACCACTTCTAGACCACCTGAGTCAGACGTGGTTCAACGACTTTCGTCGACACCCGATCCTAAAAAAAAAAAAAAAAAAAAGGTTTTGGCATGCTCTGATCACGAATCCGCGGTCCATTTTTGTGTAGAATGCACGGTTCCGGAGATGTGTAGATCAATTAGCTAATATCTAATTGATATCCGGTAAGGGCCTCCACCGTCATTAGCGTCCCATTGTTCCTATTTCTATTGTTCTATTGTTCATTAATCACCTTCATTGCAGCGTGTGCGTCGACTATATCAGTGCTATTGTATTATACTTCTTTGTTCCTAATTATACAACGCTAATCTGAATCATCAATAAAACACATTACATAATTTTGTTACAATTTTTATTTATAAAATACAAAATCTTATTACTTATTATCTATAAAATAGGAGCGAAACATCTCATCCACTAAAATATCGTTGTACAATGTGTTCCTTGTAAATATACTCGTAAAACTATGTATTGAACATCCCTGAAACTTATATAGCAAATACATTAAGCAATATTCGCCACAAACTGAAGTCCACTCATTCTGAATCCTATCAACATTCCAGTTCCATCTTTTACAATTCCTTTTTAAAAACTCTAGATGATATCGTACAGGTGATCGTCCATATGAATCAAAATATTGACCGACGTCATTCGTATCGATATATAAAGCTACCCAATGTGACCCTGGTTTATCATCTGTATCCAAATTGCATATTATATACGTTGGTACGTGGGTATACATAGGCAGTCTATTAGCTGCATAAACATTATTTTCTAGACTGGGGTGAATCTTTTTCAGATGTTGTTGTACATCTAGTGTATCCATGATATTACTGCTATTAGTAGATTATTACAGTACCAATCTACTCAATGAATAACATAGGAATGGTCAATTATAGTGATTTCTAAATATTAAATTGCATTTTTGTGTTATACAAATCGTACTTGAGTCATTGATCACCAAACAAAACACAATACGAAGAAATGTTGAGATAGGCAACGGAAATGTGAGATAAACTGATATGTTTCTAAATATTAAATTGCATTTTTGTGTTATACAAATCGTACTTGAGTCATTGATCACCAAACAAAACACAATACGAAGAAATGTTGAGATAGACAACGGAAATGTGAGATAAACTGGTTGACGCATAAAGTAATTATCAACTCATTACGGAAATACTTTAGATTAGAATTTTTACGTACTGGTGGTATATAAGACCAACAGACGCAGTCATCGAGTTAGTGTACGGTCGTTTGACTACAGTGGATCTATCAATAGTACATTTGTGTTACTTCAATACACCAAAGGCTATGGATGTACGTGTTTATTCTATTGACTAAATTACTTTTTTTCTGTTATTTTCATGTGTGTGTATTATTTTATTTAAATATTGTGTATGTATATGATTAAGCCGTGGTAACTCAGATGGTTAGCGCTAGCTGTAAATTTCACAGTACGCGACCCGGGTTCGATCCCCGCCAGCACCAATTAAATTGTTAATCGCAATTTTAAGTGCTTATTACCACGTGCTTGGTGGTGAAGGAAAACATCGTGAGGAAACCTGCATGTCTGAGAAAATTTCGAAGGCATGTGAAGTTCGCCAACACACATTGAGGGAGCGCGGCGGACATTTCCTTGCTCTAAAACCCTCTCAGAAATGAGAGGAGGCCTATGTTCAGCAGTGGGCTTTAATAGGCTGTAAATTTAACTTTTTTAACTTTTATGATTAAGTGTTAACAAATTGATATTAACATGATAACTGTGTTG